AAAAAAAAAATTAGCCAGGTATGTCAGGCAACTGTAGTCCCAGTTTCTCAGGAGGTTTAGGCAGGAGGATCACTTACCTAGGAGTTTGAGGTTGCTGTGAGTTAAGCTAATTCCACAGCATTCTAGACTTGGCAAGACAATGAGATTCTGTCTCAAATAAATGAACAAAACAAGAAGGCAGGCCATAGAAGAGATATTTGCAATAAATGTGTCCAACAAAAGACTCTAGGGGGAAATGAACAAAAGGTGGGAATGAGCACTACTTAGAGGAGGCTAGTGAACCCACAACAGCCCTAGAAATGGTGGTTGGCCTCCATTGCACCAAGCATGTAAATGTTAAAGCCACAGAGAGACAAGATGACTACAAGGAGGAGGAATGCTGGCCACTCAGTCTCTATCACAGCTAAGCATTTCCCCTCCCAGTACCCAGGCTTTCCTCCCAGACCAGTTCCCCAAAGAATTACAAACCACGTACTTGTGCAGGAGTGTCCATAGCCCATGGCTTCATAATATCCAACCCCAGACACAGCCCTGTTGCCTGGAAGTGACAGCAGATGGTAGATGTATCCACTGGCACCCAGCTAGAGCCCAGGATCACCCCTGGGGGGCAGGGGCAGGAAAGCCTGTCCCTGAGGTTTGGTACCTTGGTGTTAGAGGTGTGGCCCTAAGGGTTAGAGAACTGGAGTAGGAAGGACGTGACATTTGCACTCAGGGAGGGCAGTGCCATGTTTCCAGGAGCCAAAGGGAGTAGCCCTCTAAGGTTCTGGGCTAGGCATGGGAGGCAGAGCTAGGGGTGCCTATGGCAGGAAGGATCTGGGTTTTATTCCTAGAGATGAGAGGCTGTGATATGTCCCTTCTAGTATAAGCTGGGAAGGTCAGTGAATGACCAGGGAGGCTGTGGCACCTAGCCTGATTTAGCAACCCTTGGGGGAGGAGATAGGAGCCTTCCTGAAGACTTAAAGGATTAAAAAAGACACCTCAGCATTTTGATATCTAAAGGCTTATAGCAACAGTCCTCCAATAGGTCCCACATGGTCCTAGTACCCTGCCCCTCCCCCACACATACCCAGTTCTAGGGTATCCACACTCCCATCACTCAGACTAGTGCCTTGGGGGGCTTTATTCCTCAAGGACATAATTTTCCCAGGAGTCTGCACCATAGTAGGTGGGGAAGTGAATTGAGCGGCTCACAGCTAGCATGTCTAAAAGTGAGAAGAGAAAATGCAAAGCACACACTTGCTAAGAGAGACCCTTGTGCTGGGGAACTTACACTGGTCATGCCTGTGTCTGTGTGTCATGGGCAGAGACATTGCCATTGGGAAGAAGAAGGAGGGCTCTTTGTTTAGAAAATTACAAAGAAGGGCATACACTTGTAATCCTAATCCTAGCATTCTGGGAGGCCAAGGCAGGTAGATCACCTGAATTCACGGGTTTGAGACCAGCCTGAGCAAGAACGAGACCTCATCTCTAGAAAAAAAAAAAAAAAAGCCAGCCATTGTGGGAGTGACTGTAGTCCCAACTGCTTGGGAGGTTGAGACTCGAGAATCATTTGATCCCAAGAGTTTGAGGTTGCTGTAAACTATGATGCCACCTCGGTCTTCCAAGGGCAACAAGGTGAGACTTTGTGTCAAAAAAAAAAAAAAAAAAAAA